TTGGCTATCTGCATGTAGCCATCAGCATCTTACAGCGGTTGTTTTTGGCACAGCTTTTGCATCTGGAATACAAATTTGCAGCACAACCTAGAAAGGTCTCTTAGTATCCCCAGCCGACTCTTTCAATTACCCGTCTTTTCCTTATCCTTCTCTGGAGATAAATTAGCTAAAACCACTGTGATTTACCAACTCTAGTTCTTTCACTGTACATCTCTTTAATCTAAGGCTGTGTGAGACCAGATCAGTCCCTGGCGACTGTTGCTCCCCTCCAGGCTACTATTAGGCTTCCCACTGTTGTTTAAACTGGTGAAGTTAAAACAACAGGGTGAAACACTTAAATTATATTTTTCTCAGAAGTCTCCCAAGTCTTAACTATTCTATTTGTTACTGTAGGGCATAAAACATCACTGTCACATCAAAAACTTCTTGCTTATTATCTGAGTTTCCCCCAAAAAACGGTTCTCAAAGGGTGCCTTTGATTATCACTCACAGCTTCCTTCCCCGACAGTAGTCTATAGGATATGTATATATGTGGTTATATACATGAGGGTGTATGTTCATCCTTGAATGAAATGCTATAGACAGAGGAAATTAAGATTAACCTGTGTACACAGCAGCAACATCAAATACATACTTTTTCTTTTTTCCTACCTAGTTTGAGCAGTTTGAAAGCACTATTGGGTTTAAGTTGCCAAATCATCGTGCTGCAAAGCGCTTATGGAAAGTGTGTGTTGAGCACCATACATTTTTCAGGTATGTGGATTTCTTTTCCTAACATTGTGATATAAAACACAACAGAAAAGACCATTTCTGTCAGCAGATACAAAGCTCTTCAAATCAAATTGTCTTTTTGATCACAATGTATCTCTGAGCAGACAAGGGAAGTTTATTGCTTCTTCAAAATTTGAAATGTTTCACCCAAATTATTCATACTATTTCAGATAGATACTGAATGTTTAAAATCACCATATGGTCCCAATTAATCATACTGCTTTATCTGTGCCATGATATTTTCAGCCACTGTAATTAAAGAGATGAAGGACTCTGCTGTACTTTTTCACATATGCTTGTATAGGGAGAACAACTTATATGGAAAGTTACTGGGGGATGTGGGTAAGAGGTTAAAAGAAAAAGGAGATTTTTATTTAACGACATAAGATAATACAAACAGTAGTTGGTGAATACCCAATCCATAGCTGCAGTTTTTGTATTACTGAGGAATTTTGCATGTATGTTTTTGATATCTAAGAAGACCTGAGAAAAGTTTGCAACAGTGGAATAAATGCTGTAATTAGTTTGTGCTGAGATAGTCAGCAAGGAGATATGTAGCAACGAGAACCCAAAAGGGTGAAATTTTCAGTGGCGTGAAAGGGCATCCAGCCCTTAAAAACCCCTCTCAAGATGTTTGGGAGGACTGAAGAATTTCTCTGCTTCCCTAAATCTCTTGGTTCAGGCTGTCTGTATGTTCATATGAAGTGCGGTCTTAGTAGCAAAAAATCTAAAAGGAAGTCGAGTGTGCAATTTTGGAGGGTTTTCTGATTTTTAATGGAAAATCAATGTCTAAAGCATAAACTCCATAGCAGGAGAATGGCTTCTTCAGCAAACTCCAGTTGCAGAAATACAGAGTGTGGGAAGGCTCTAACCTGAAAAATGTCTGCATCCCTGTGAATGAATTCTGCCCTGCATTCATTTGAAATCTGTTCTGGCCATGTCTTCAGCGTAGTAGCACTGTCATAAATTTCAAGTATAAGAAATCTGTCACTCATCTGTGTTTCAGCCCAGCTCGGAGTCCTTGATACAAGGAACACCTTATTTTTAGTTTTGGTGATGAGAAAATAATAGATCTGATTTTAAAGCAGGAGTGATTCTTACCTGTTGGGAAGAACTCAGCTCTTCAAATGCATTAGCTGAGCAATTTTTTCATGGTGCATGAGGGGCATCCTTTGATTCTCTTTTAGCCTGTGCTAGTTTAACTCAGCTGGCAGACAAACAAGACATAGACACTTGCAGCCGCCCCGCCCCCTTCCCCCACCCCACCAGGGAATCGGGGAGAGAATTGGAGGAGGAAAGATAAGGAG